TTTTCGTTATTTCCATATCACGACGCAATGGATGCAAAGGGACCGTTGACAAAAATACATTATTTGTGCAGTTTACATCCTTTAAAAACAAACTGTCTAGGAGTAGTATCATAACGTCATATTAAACCTTGAAAATTATTATACAAACACAAGCGTGAAATCATATTTTGTCGCCACGCAATTAAATGACTTAAGTACGAATACCTGTACCTCTATAAATGACTTTCCAAAGGGTAATGGATTAAAAATTGCACATTTAAATATTCGAAGTCTTAGACAAAAGGTGGATGATTTGCAATTTTATTTGAATCAAAATCCGTACGAAATTCTGAACTTGTCAGAAACATGGCTAAGTGAAAACATTCGTAATTCATTGTTACTAATTGATTGGTATCATTTCGAAAGACTTGATAGAGATGAAAAGGGAGGAGGAGTTGGATGTTTTATACAAAACAGATCTTGAAGACGGTGAGTTCGAAATTATTGTGGCTAGAGATTAGACTACACAATCACAAATCAAAGAATCTTGGAATTGTATATCGCCCCCTTAACAGTAGTAGTGTATTTTTTAATAACCTAGAAATTAATTTAGAAAATAAATGTACGCTATCAAACGATATTGTAATATTAGGTGATTTAAATTGCAATATGCTAACTCATGATAATCTTTCAAAGCAGATAAATGATCTGTGTGACAATGTGCAATAGCTGATCAGGACCCCGACACGTATAACCGTTATTAGTACAACCCTTATTGATCTAATTACTGTGTCAATTAATTTGAAATCACTGAAAAGTGGCACACAGTCTATCGGTCTAATGATCACTTAGACCGCCCAAGTCATCATTTATTGATTTACCTTATATCAAAAGTAAAACCACCACCCTCCATAAGTATGTTTTGTGAGTACCTACTGTTCATTTAGATACTTTAATGACTTTTTTTGTTTAAATGATGTTTAGGATATAAACTGGGATAATTTGTACTTAAACAATTAAAATGTTGATAATATGTAGAATATTTTCAAACGTAAATTCAAAGACATTTGTGATCTTCATGTATCGTATGTCACAGTAAGAAAACGTTCTAGGGGATCACCTTGGATTACTAACGAATATTTATGTATCGCAAGAGGTAAGAATTATTTTAAACGCAAATTTGATAAACACAAACTACAGACGACTGGGAAAACTTTAACGAATTCAGAAATAGGGCAAATGTACTGAACAAGAATTTAAAGAAACAATATTATGAGAAGCGTTGCATTGGAAATGGTAATGATATGAAAAGTTACTCCCAAAGAAGGATGCCAATTCGAATATAAAATCTCTAAATAACCAAATTTTAGTAAAGAAAGGAAAGGTAGCAGAAATGTTTATTGAAAGTTTTGATAATATCCAAAGCCAATAACAGAAGCGAATGATTCTCATCTCCAAATAAATGCATGAGAAACATTAACGCAAACAGAACATAATTTAGAATTTACAGAGATCGAAGAATGTTTTGTATTAAAAGAGCTACTCAAGCTTTAGGTTTCAAAAGCAGTTGGTATTGATGATCTTCCTCCAAAGCTACTTAAAATAGCTGCCCCACATATTGCTAGAGTTTCAATAGTATTGTTCATTGTCAAAAAGGAACTTTCTTCATCAATTCAAATTTGCCTTTAAAAAAAACGTATTCATAAAGGTGAAACCAAAATGCATTTAACTAACTACCGACCTAATTCTGTTCTTCCTACGATTTCGAAGATATTTGAGAAGGCTGTCCACAACCAGGTTTATACTAACTTAAAAAAAAAAAATCTTTGTTAAGTGAACGTCAATCAGGGTTTAGACCCGGGCAGTCAACTCTGACATTCTTGACTGAAATAGTCGAAGGTTTTACTTGATGATATGGACAGAGGCCTGGTCACTGGAGCCATTTTTCTTGACATGAAAAAGGCGTGCGACGTTATACCACACCGCTTGATTCTTCATAAAATGTTATTTTATGGTATTGGGGGAGTTGAACTTAAGTGGTTTGAGTCATATCTATCCAATAGGCAACAATGTGTATTCTTGCAAGGGACGAAGAGTACTTTTCCAACTGTGAAATCAGGCACTCCACAAGGATCGATGCTGGGGCCATTTATTTTTTGCCTCTTCGTGAATGATATTTGTAATCTGCAACTCCATTCTGAGACCAAAAAAATCCTTATAAATGAAGAGTTTAGTTCCAAAAGGAGCTAAATTAATTTTTGAAATTTCAGAAAAAGTAGAATTTGTTCACTACATTTTGACCAGGCGTCTATGGAAAAGTGATATTATAAGGTGCATTTTTCATAATTGTTCACAAAATTTAGGTAAATACTTCTGTTGAAAGACGGGCTCTGAAGTAATCAATGTACTGAAATCAATAACTCAATTTTCATCAAAAGTGGATTTATCTCCTTTTGGAATTAAACTCTTCATGTGCAGATGAAACGGCAGTGTTTCATCATGGAAAGAATTATAAAGTTTGTAAATGAAATCTTCAAAAAGACCTTTCGAGTATCGTAACAACAAAATGTTTTAAATGTAAATAAAACCCAAAACAATACTCTTTGGTTCTAAAAGAAAAATTCATAATAATAATATTTGTATTCATTACAGTGATAATATACTCGACTCAGTCGAAAGTATATAATATCTAGGTGTAACACTATGACAAATGTCCAACGTGGTCGCTACATATAAGAACAGTTGTTAAGAAAGTATCGAGTACGATTGCCTTCATTATACGGATACGCCATTATATATCCCGTAATAATTTGATTGACTTGACTTATGCCGTCCACGCAGGCCAGGGTCCTCGTGATGGCTTCTTCATGGTGATGGTATGCCAAGTATTTTTGTCTGCAGCCCGTCTTAACGCATATGTCAGCCTTGTTATAGACCTTGCTTTACAGTCCTCTGAGATGCAGTCAAGCCATCTTTTGGGTGGACGGCCTCTGGGTCGATTTCCTGTGACATTTCCTTCAACAGCAATTTGGGGGTATCTTGTGGGTTTCATTCTTAAAGCCCCACTGTCCTACTTGTAGCTAGCTACTTGCTCCCTCTATATAAAAAAAAAAAAATCCCCAATCGGTGCCTGTCGGTCCCCCAAGATCCTCTCTTTCATATGTTAGTTGAGAGCTGAGTTAATTAGACAGCCCCCTGTCAGTGACCTCGCTGTGTGGTCTAATCCCTTCTGGCCCAGTAGTATTGACGGTCTTTAAGACGTGGCCAAAATATTTGAGTCTTTTAGTGGAGACTTGGTCCACAACATCTTGATCGAGGTTGAGGATACTTTGATAGGATCTTGTCTAGTCTTGTCACCCCCATTATGCGACGGAGGCATGCCATATCAAACACTTGAAGCCTAGCCTGTTGCTAACTTCTTTTCTAAATGTCCAGGATTCTGCCCCATAAAGCGGTATTGAGAGGATGAGTGGTTGATACATCTTCCTGTGGCTACTAATGCTTTTTGATGTCCAGGGGGGTGTTTCACAAAGATCCTAAGTTGAACTTATCTCTAAGTTGGACGTAAAAAATATGGAAAGCCATTAGCATCTTTGAAAATATTTTGTAAAAGTTATTTTAAAAGGCATTCATTGTTTATTGAAATCATTTATATTTTCTATCATCAAGGAGATTTCATGTTCTGGATGTGGAATTAATAAAAAGTCTAAAATACTTGAATTTCTGCTTTTGAATATATTTCATTTAAAGACTCCAATGGCTGTCCATAATTTTTAAGTCCAACTTAGAGTTAAGTTCTACTTAGGATCTTTGTGAAACACCCCCCAGATGTTATTGAGCCTTTGGAAAGCTGCCCCTGCTTTACTGATGCGATTCTTAATGTCACTTTTGTATTTAATATCCTACCGCATTTAAACTACTGTAATTCAGTATGGGGGAAATACTTCCAAACAAAGTCTAACAAAGTTGCACAAATTACAAAATAGATATGCACGATTAGTTCTTCGTGCCGAATATTTTACACCCCAAAATAATGTAATGAGTAAATTGAAATGGCAAGTAGAGGAAAGAATAAAATATCAGAAATGCATCTTGATTTTCAAAATCAACAACGACCTATCACCACCATATCTAAATCCATGTTACTTTAACCTTTATTAATCACATTTCATTTAGTTTTCTCAATTTGATAGTTGTTTTTGTTGTTTCTTTTTCTCTTTTAATTGTTTATGTGTGTTATTATGTTACCTATATTGACTCTTTTTTCCCTTTTTCTTCTTGATATCAATTTGAGTTGAATTATTGTATATGCCATGTATATTTTTACCTTCGTATGTATGTTTTGAATTCATGTTTTTATTGTACATATTTTTATGTCAATTGAATGCTCTCTGGGAGAGCAGGTCCAGAAATGTACTTGAAATAAAACCACCCTCTTGAAATAAAACTAGAAAATATAAATAAATGAATAACGATGAGCCTCGAAAAGGGAAGTAACTTTGTACAAATAAGTCCTACTCGGCTTTCCCGCGTCATTGTATGGAAATATGACCTTCATTGAGGTTTTTTTTCCTGATAATCATAATAGCATATTCAAGTGTCTTTTTGTCCGTGAATCACATGACTGATTCACAAAGACAAACCTGTTCACGGTTCTACCACGAATGTGTTATCAAAAATATGATTTATTTCACTTCGCGCGGTACACCTCATCATGCCTCAGTAGCTCTCGTACATGTACGTACCACCACCCTCGGTTTAGGGGGTGTTAACCCACAAGGAGGAAGTACATTGTCTTTAATTTGATACCCGGCATATTCGACTTCCGTTTTAATACTCAGTCACAATAATTGGGAACTGGAATCATATCACAGGCCATTCCAAGTTGCTCTGCCGTATCAGGACTTAAAGTGTAATCTTTCGTGCTATGTGTACATATATAGGGAGGAATTCATATATGCAATAGTGGACTTCACTATTGGGCATTGCATCTTACTCTCTGTGTTTTTGTGATATTTACAATGTCTGGGGATACAGTACTTGGATGGTTTAGAGTGTTCCTGCCTCTTACTCTGATATGGATTCTTTCATCTTCAACAGGTTTGTATCAAACTTACTGGATGTTCCTACCAAATGTGTCCACAAGAGGGTCAAAATGAAATTATGTTTACATACTTCAAACATGTATTTTTAGGTTCAGGACTATTCATATTTTGAGAAATATTTTGTTGATGTTTCCTATCTTTTCATCCTTATCTATTTTGTTAATATTTTAATTTTGATGTTTTAATAAATAACAACCCAACGAGGGGAAAAAATCGACCGACCAACCCAGGTGCTGGCACCTAAAGGGCAATACAATATTTGTTATTTAGGCCCTATTTAAATTTCGGTAGGCTGAACTTATACATTGACAAAAATATATCGTTGCCTAACACAGTAGGAATAATGATGATTTGGTCCTATTTTTACAGCCGAGGTAGGCGTGTTTGTAATTGGGCTTTTACATACGTGTATCAATCAGATATGATTATTTACGTCTGCGGACCGACCTTTAACGTCACCATCCGAAAAAACGTGACTCAGTTTCGAACCTGCGTCCTTGGCTGAATCTGTTTGTAACTTCCATTTTTAGCCGGATTACAGGCGCACGCCACAACGCCCCGTTCAAGTTCTTAAAACTGCTGTTCCTGTGGGCTCGACATTTTATACATTCCTCGGCATTGACAGGTACCAATTGATTACACCTAGGGGCATGGGGAGGGAGAAATGTGGGCAATAAACCTTGTCTAAGGATCTTAGCAGCAAGCAGGGAGGTAAGAGAAAGGAGTGGAATCAAGCCGCTTTCCTTTGACCCCATGCTCAAAGCCGCCGAAAGGTTATGCGCTAATCTGCGACTTTTGACCAGGTGGTGAGATAAAAGAGCGCTTAAAATATCAGAAAACGGTTTCACAGCAACTGTTCGCTGTCCCTTTCAGTAATTTCCCATCCATTGTCGAATGTGTAATGGGTAGAACACAAACACAAACTTGTGTAATTTCATCCTTTTTCCAACTGCAAAAATATAAAAAAACAATCGAAAACACGCATTAGCAAACTTAAAGTTATCGAAGATTGTAAATCATGGATTAAATAACGGGACATTAAAACATGCATACATCCAAAAATATTGAGTTTTTGTCAGGATATATTTTTTCTTCTACCAACTCTGGCACACAAATTATAGGAAGGGTCGAGTACTAAATTTGAAGAATTGTTTGATGCACTATTCCCAATACTATCCCCACATAAAGTTATAATTTACACTGAAATTTTGCCTGTAATTTGATATTTTGTAATACATGTGAAACTGGTGCCTGGCCTCCGAAAGTCCCCGCAGTGGAAGCGCGGCTCGGAGCATGGAACTTCAAAACCAAGTGGAATGTTACACATCCCATTGTTACGCTTTATAGCTCACGAATGCGTTTAAATAAATTAAAAGACTTTCCACTCCTTTCGTTCCCCTCCTGCAGCAAGTGAGCATTTACTAATTAAGGGGTTTATGGTGAATCCCGACCGTGAAGATTACCGTGTTGATGCTTTGTATCTTGTTATATTACAGTTGAATGTCAGGAGTGTTCTACATCAGGGTTGAATGTGTATGGTGGTTATCAGTATGTCTTCTACCATGATGGTCAAAGGACATTCTCTGAAACACGTGCAAACTGTCAAAGCTTAGGGGGTGACATGCCAATCATCAAATCAGCTGAAAAAAATGTACGTACGTACTTTTACCGTATATTACATTATATATGTATCGGTTCTTATGGAGCAAAACGTGTAATTAAACACATTATATAACTTTTCTACTGAAACGTTGCATACTATGTCTATAAAGTATCCGGATTTCTGGCAACTTTTTACTTATTCAGACCAAATACGGCATTGAAATATTGCCAAGGCTGATATCAACAAATCATAATTTATGATCCTTCGTTTATATCTTACCCAGAATGTTTGTTTTGCCTACGCTCATGGAGGGGGGGGGGGTTAGAATTACCTGTTTATAAATCAGTCAGAAGTGGAGCTCAAATTAATGATAAATCTGTGCGACCATCGATGAGGACTTTGGATGGAAAAGCGAAATAATTTCAAATATTTTTGCCGGATTTTGTATCTGGAATTTTCACTTTAATTAGCGATACTATAGGTGAGATATTATCCAGAACAAAGTAGTAACCTATGTTTAAGGCCAAGTTCTGAAAAGTGGAGGCACTTTTAGGGACTTTGCAGCACAAAATCAAACCCCCTGTTTGGGGATCTTTTGGCAAAAAGTAACCCATTAGAGCGGCACATCCCCGTATGGCGTATTAGGCGAGTAGCCTCCCCCTCCCCCGGGTTGTAACTTAGATGATTACTGTCTTTCAATTTTCCTGATTCCTCCTGTTGTGTCCTTTTCAATAATATGTAGGAATAACCTTAAAGCTTATGATTTTTATTTATTGATGAATAGTGACAAGGAGAAATGTATGATGTATACTTAAGTCTATTTCGGGCTATAGTGCAAAGTATTATATTTACTACGAACCATTGTTTACTGGTCACAATCATGTGACACTAAACCAGGAGAAAACCGGAAAAGGTTGAATCTTTAGTAGATAAGACTCGATGTGTGTTAATTAAGACGTTTGAGAATTGTCAAAATCAAATAGAATGGATTCCATTTTTCTGAATTCGATTATAACTCTACTATTTCAAAAGATAGTAATTACAAACTCTATATTTAAATCTATATCAGATATATGACACAAAATGTTCTGGTAATACCAAACATATAAATTGAAAGACGAAGGATAGATCATTTCTCAAAAAATGAAAATGATTGATAATTATTAAGGGGTATTCTATGTTCTTCTGCAAATTTGCCCAAAAAGATACATATGGTAATATGTCTCCTCCCTGAAAATTGTTAGTAGACAAAGTAAGAAAACAGCATGAAGTAACTTTTTTCTTTATAATTTGAATATTAAATTTTACACTGTAACTGTTTGACTAAAACAAGTGCAAATTCTAGCTTACATGCAAATTTAGTGCTATAACCGAAGTACTCACTTGGCATAATCGTAGTTAGCTTTTGAGTATGATGGTGATGGTATTAATGCCACTTTGATGTAAACATCCACATTCATGATGTTGCATTTATAACATATACAGGATTTCATAGCCAGGAAATTATTAACAGATGGAGGTCACTATTACATCGGCTTAGAAGACATGGATGAGGATGGTACATACAGATGGATTGATGAAACGGCCCCTGGGTATGTATCAGCTATCATCGTGATATAATGCCACTCCTTTTTTCTATTTTTTCTCCCCTTAATGATTTCCTCATTACCTGATTATATATATCATTATACTTATGTTGACTTATAAGTATATGAGTGCGGAAAAGGTGCACTAGCCATTTGAAAAGGAGGGGTGGGCGGCACCTTTCTGCCTAACGAATGAGAACAAAATGACCGACTCTGAAAGCGTGTCACGCCACTAAATCACGTTTGCGTCTTACGGTTTTCTGTATCCCAACGAAAAAAAGATGAAATTAGGTTTTCTTCACGAAACAAATCTGTTATTTTTTAATTGTTAATCTGTTATCAATAATTCCTCATGCTACGATAATCTACAGCTTAATACTTGCTCTAAGCTCAATTTTGTCAACGGATGAATGAAAAACTCAGAGTAAAAGGCTAAAAACTACCATTTCAATACCTTTACAATATTAGTCATAGGCACTTTAAATTAATTCAACAGGAGATTCAATATACTTTTTTCCAAAGACACTCGATTCGTAATGTAGTAGAGTTTTATATCTTATATGCATAAATACAAGTTGTATCGCTAATCATATTTAATTTATATGAATTAATCACTTTCAAGGTACACCTACTGGGATTCTCCTCTATATACGGACCAACAACCACCTTACTGTGCTGTGATGAGGTCTGGATCGAGCCTCACTGGCCCAATACATGGACGATGGAATCGAGTAGCCTGCACATCAACTAGACGACATATCTGCCAAATACCTATCGGTAGGTATTTCAAGTCGTTTTGGATATTCGCCATGTTTAGTTTTGAAGGAGCATGTAAGATAACGTTGTAAACGTATTCTAGATCAATATTTGCAGACAATTCTTGATACAGAATGTTTACAATCGAATTTCGTTTACTATTTTTTGCCCAGCTCTCATTTATGGCGTGTGAATTTAAATTATCTATTATTAGTAAAATAGGATACGAAGATAAAGAGAGAGTGGGGGGATCCAATGTAACCATCATATAACCGATAACGAAAAAAAAGTAAACAATGGAACCAATTATGCGCAATGAAAATGATTAATACAAATACTAACAATAATGACGAAAAAATAATCCCAAAAGTGATATCCATTATATCAGAAAACCATTCTGCTTCTAAATAACGATACAAAGCATTTTCCCTTCTCATACACATTTCGAGGATCGTCAGCTGTAATCTCTGCTCTAGACGGGCTTTCATTTTTGTAATCATAAAAAGTTAATTTCAAATGATAAGAGCGGAACAAAAAAAATAGATAGTTTATTTTTATTACAGTGTTAACTATACTCGTATCAATTGTCGATTTAATTGAGTGTGGTAGAAATGATTACAAACAAAATGCAAAAAATATTCCGGGAACTAATTGCACAATAAAGAAAAATGGTCCTAAAAAAGGATCCTCGATTAAAACAAAGAAGAAAATCAATAAGAAGTGGTAATAATTCACTTACACTCTTCTAGGTGAAGTAAATGTTGATCGCTGAAGAACAATGAGTAAAGTAAATTTAAAATAGTATAAAGATATCGACTGCTTTGAGAGGACTGGCTGTGTTAAAGGCTCAAGGGAACATGCGCACATCCTGCTATGACCCCGAGGCGCACATTGGTGTGCACAAGTTCCCGAGAGCCTTTAAAACAGCCAGATCTCCAATACTAAAGCAGTCGATATCTCTTTTATATGCCGAATTGAAACCCTCCAAAACTAACAAGAATGGTTACCTTATCCTTTTATCGAGTAAAGATTGGTTAAAACATCACGGAAAATCTGATAAACTGTTTGTTAATCTTCGCTGGAAAAATGACTGACAGTTGGGAATCGCAGACAAAAAGCACTGTATGGTGTCCTTGCTCGCACAAAGAAAATGTTTACACGTGAACCAATGGGGATCTTAGTGTAAGGAACCACACAAGACAAACCTAGTCTTGCATGTTTGATGACTTGAGCTGCACTGTTAGATTTCAATACAACCACAAAAATGGCTGCCAAGATGGCTGACATCCAGTCCATCCAACAATAATAACCAATCACAAGATTGGACAAGAAAAGTAACCAATAGAAAAGCTTGTTAAAGATAGAGTGCCATGTGCCTATAGTGTGCTGGGTTGAATAGCTAAGAGATAGAAAGAGTGTGTGTGTGTGTGTGTGTGTGTGTGTGTGGTGCTATGGCAGGTAATGTGCATTAGGATGAATGAATAGGGACAGAACAATAGAAGCCAAGAGCTAGCAGACATGAGAGAATGAATGTAGGTCAGGATTGCGCTGAAGCATAACGGAGTGGAAAGCTAAATGTACAGTAAGATAAGATAAGATAAGATAAGATATTTATTCGTCTTTCTTTCAAATGACATATAGAGCATAACATTGGATCATTACACATTTACAATGCAAAATAACAAATTATGGCAATGATAAAAACAAAGTTAACTAAAAGAAAGACGAGGAGACCCTGGTAAAAGCAGAGCTTGTAATTATTAGGGTCCCCTCTGAGCCGGATAAACATGATAAATAGATATTTGTGACTTCCCAAGAATACAAATAGGGAAAAGGGGGTATAAAAAACAAGAAGTGTACATACACACAACAACAACAACAACAAAAAACGAGAGACGAGACTAGACAAGACGGGAGAAAAGAGAAAATATGAGAAATAATAGAAGACTACAGCACATCGACAATAGGCACAGCACACAACGGGCACAAGACAACAGGGGGAGGGAATAAGAGGTTGACAATCTGAAAAAAACATTCAGTTAGACACATATTAATATCAAGAAGAAAATTTACATTTATAGTAATACATAATATATCTTGGCACCATAATAACTACAAAAATGAACTACTCTATGAGTCACAGTATTTATCGAGAAGATAAACAAATCTTCTGTGTGCCCATGCCTTGAGCCATAATGCATGGCCGTCCAGAGGATTTTTTTATGTTGGGGACCGGGGTAAAATGCAATAAATTATTGAATATTTATTGCATTTTCTTTTTTTTTTGTAATTTATGGAAACTGCCCCCTACCCTAGCCCCGGCTGCGTACAGTCATGGTTCAGTGACAAAGCAATAGCCTCGTAACTGTGAGGCCCCAGGATCAACACCGTGTCGATGTGCTATATTAGTGCCCTTTTGTAAGGCATTAATCCTCATTACTGTCATTTATGACTTAAGGGCATAGGTCCCCTAGTTGATAAACATAGTAGCATAATATACATGCTTTAGCAGTCACGCAAAACACATATTGGCAAATTATTATTCAATAAAATCTGAGACTGTATACTATTATCTAGATCTAGTATTTTTTAATTATTTTTAAAATAATTCCATAAATTGGGATAAAAAAAATATTCCACCGTTATGAGCAACAGTGTATGAATTTTCCAACTCATTTGCTCATCAATGTGCAAACCAAGGAATTTTGTTGATGATACCCATCTATCAATACATTATTAAATGATACATCTCCTGGGAGCACTTTGATTGTATTACTAAAAAAACATATAATTTGTCATTTGCAGATTTAAAGACAATTTATTTGCTTGAATCCACAAAGTAACTTTACTTAGTTCGAAATTAACCGTTTCTAACAGAGTTTGTAGATTTTTGTGTGAATAGTACAAGCTGGAATCATCAGCAAATAAAATGAATGACAAAACATCAGATGAGAAATGAAAGTCATTAATATACACAATAAACAAGAGCGGACCAAGGAGAGATCCCTGAGGAACGCCGCATGTGACATTCTGTAACCCTGAATCAAAACCGTTTAAAGTAACAAATTGTTTCCTGTCAGCTAAGTAGCTCTTAAAACCAGTCAAGAGCTGTGCCCCTGACACCATAATGCGATAATTTCCCTAGCAAAATTTCATGATCTATAGTATCAAATGCCTTGGAATAATCAAGAAATATACCAATTGTGTGCATCTTTTTGTCTATTGCTTGTGAAATCTTATCTATAAAGTGCAGCAAGGCATGAGAGGTAGTATGTTTCTCTCGGAACCCAAACTGAAAATTTGAGAATATTTTACTTTTGTTGAAAAATTCTAAAGTTCTAACATAAATCACTTTCTCAAGGATCTTTGAGAAGGAGGTTAGAAAGGAATTAGGACGGTAATTTGAAATAGATTGAGGATGTCCCTTTTTTAGAACGGGTACGACTTTTGCAATTTTCATGTTTTCAGGGACTATTCCTTTTAAAATTGATGAATTAAAAACATTAATAAGGGGTTGAATAATCCCTAAGATAACCTGTTTAATTATGTCATTATTGACACCATCGTAACCAGGACTTTTCCCAGCCTTAAGCGAATTCACAATAGTAAGCAACTCTTCCCTAACTAATGGGAAAAGGAATACGCTTTTCTTGTTAGATTCTTTCAGGAAATCGTTAAAAGATTTTTGACAGGAAGGAACCGCCCGTGACAGATTAGGACCAATACTGCAAAAATAATCATTGAATTTTTCCACAATAATATTCTTATCTTCAACTAAACGACCATCAATTTCAATATTCTTTACATCAGAATTTTTTTCTTTGACTTGAACACATTTCTTATCACTTTCCAAGTTCCTTTGATATCGTTTGAAGTTGCTTGAAACTGAGCAAAATAATAAGTTTTCTTTGCTGCACGCAAGACTCAAGTAAGGGTGTTTTTATAATCAACATATCGTGTACGTGATGATTCTCTTCCACTAACTTTATAAGAATAATACAACTTATTCTTCTTATTGATAGACTTCAACAAGGAAGCACTGACCCATGGCATACGTGGAATTTTCTTACGATTTCTAGTATTACATTTGGAAAGCGGAACAATTTTATCATAGAGTAGCAAAAACTTAATAAAAATATTGTTGAATGAAATATTAACATCCTTTTCAAGTAAAACTGCACTCCAGTCAGTTGCCGTTAGTGCTTCTCGAAACTTCTCAATGCGAGTGGGATTGTTTTTACGAATATATTTACTTTCATGTTTATGAGCAGTATTACGAAAGTTCACTTTAGTGAAGATGGGGAAATGATCTGAAAGATCTGATATTATAATACCTGAAGATGGAAAAGGTTGCAAATTACAAAATATGTTATCAATAAGGGTAATATAAACAAGTAACCACTTGGATCAGTGAAATAAAAACCTTATATTAGCACAATCTATTTATTCGGCCTGTTACCAGAGGCAACGGGCATCTTTAAAAAGACTATTGACTGGTAGGCGGGAATCGCTAACATCACGACTGCAATTTCGACCAATCAGATGGCTAGATTTCTAAAGAGAGGTATATAATCCACTATATCATTTCGATAAGCTTCTTGAAGCCCTCGAAGTTTCGGTCCATATATCATATCAATACAAATATCAAAGAGTGTTCTTGCTGTAATTATATATTTTCAGTAGTGCCCCGAGGGAGGAAGCAGAAACGACACAAATCGAAGTTACAGATATTTTTGTACACGGCAAACGGGAGAGTAGTCCGTGTCCACGTCACAATCCACGGACCCGATTGCTATTGAGATCCACACCTAATTAGTGGTCTCGCTTTGCAAACATTCATAATTATCTTATTATTGAGGCGATTAATTTCAAACTGTCACAATTGTGTGTGTGTGTGTGTGTGTGTGTGTGTGCTTTCGTAAAAATGAACTTATTACACGGGTTAGATTGCCTTTTAACGATTTGTACTATGCCTGAATACAATGACAAGCGCTATTATTAATATACTTGTGAACGGGTAATCTATGCTCTTTGACATTATAGATTTGATAGCCTATCTAACATTTGAAGAATTTTTATTAAACTAAAGTTCAGTTGATGTAATCTAATTTTAGCATAATGTTTTATTTAATGTTATATAAACAGACGTTGACTGTAGATGGCAAGAGTTCGATGAATCTCAGTATCTCATCAAGTACACACCTCGTGCAACGCCAAGTGATGCCAGGGAAACATGTCAAAGTTACGGCGGTGATTTGGCTATCATCAAGACAGCCGAAGTCAACGTAAGTATAATAAAATATTTGTTTACATTATGTATTTATGTATTATTTCTGATATTTATACAGGGTGGCATATATCACCAATTTGATGGTCTTCCATGAGGCCCTGTTTGTTAAGAATAAAACAAATAACAGCAGCAAAAACTAAATAGATAAATATACACGCATATAGACAGTTATAATACAAATTAATCGGATCCTCAGTCATGAAATAACTGAATTAAAAGAAATATGTGAATGGCTTTTCAATTTCATTAGAAAATGCATTTAAACATGAAAATAACATGAATGAAAATAAAATAAAACTAGATGATAACCACGTATTTTTAAGAAAGAAAAAAAAATATTGAAAACGTACATCTTGTATAGTCTGATATAGCTTAACACACGGGATACCAACATTGTTATATACATATCTACGTTCAATTGCTCTTTAACTAATACCCTTTGGTTGTTTAAAAGATAGCTGGAAAATGGATTCAGTTCAATAACCATGTCAACCAAATGTAACAATTTTGCAAATAGGAAAGATTGGTTCGCTTCGCACGAAAAAAAAAACAGTCCACTTACACGTCATCTGTAGGTAACAGGGCTTTTAGAGTGTGTTTAAAACTGTTCAAGGTAGGTGACGTCTTGAAAGAACTCTCAAGTTGGTTCCATACTCTAATTCCAGAAATTAGAGGACTAAGTTTATATGTGTCCGTCCTAAATTTAGGGACACGCATTGCATCCCTTACAGCATGTCTTGTGATGTGATCATGTAGTTAACTGACATGACGTAAATCTTTGTTTAAATATGTTGGTGTCATGTTATGCATTGATTTATACATCATCACTCAGACGCTCAGTCCAAATCGAGGAACAATGATCAAAGTGAGGAAGAACGATGGCATTATATAGGAGTTTTCGAGATCTTGTTGGAACATATATTTTGGCTCGCTTAATTACACTTATGTTTGTTGAGCAGTTTTATTAACTATTTACACATGTTCCTTCCAACGTAACTCCTCGTCAATCATGACACCCAGACATTATGACACTTTTACTCGTTTCAAATTACAACTGCCGTTTAGTGTGACAGAAAGATCCTTTTCTCCATTTAGAACTTACGAACTAAGAAAATACATTTTCCATACCTTTGGTTAGCTTTTGTTCTACTTCTGTAACATTACTCCCGCTGACTGTTAGAGTCGTGTCGTCAGCATACATACCAACCAACAATGCCATCATGAATACATTTGGGTAAACTTTTTATGTAGATAGAAAAAAGGAGTAGCCCTAGAATTTAAACTTGTGGGACTTCCATCGTCACTTTTGAGGAACTCGAGGTAACCCCTTTAAAACAAAACATCTGTTCTCGGTTGGACAGATATAACAAAATCACTGAATATAGTATCAGAACAGGCTGTCAATTTATGTACCAGAATATCGTGATAAACAGTGTCAAATGCTTTCCTCGAATCAATGAAAGCAACACCTGTTCACTTGTTGTAATCTAAATTTAAAGCCCACTGGTTTACAACTTTCATTAGAGATGTTACAGAAGAGTGAAGAAGGCAATTCAAAAACCTGACTGGTTAGGATACAATATTTGTAAAAGACGGCAAATTATTCCATCACATCTGGTCGCCCTATCATCACCCATGTTTTCAATTTCTGCGCTCGTGACTTGCTGTAGCTCAAATTTGCCTACTATATTTATAATCTCAGTGGCATCTAACATTATTTCAGAATGTTTTGGGATACCACTTGTTATATTTTGAGCACATGTAACAAAATGTTCATTACAAATTTGAGCAATACTTCTATCATCTGTAATTTTTGCCCCAGTCACTTGTATGCTGCAGTGTTAGACCTGATTAGATTTAGAATAATATTTTTGACACTCTGCCACACCTGCCATGATTTTCTTATCATTCTATTACAACTACCTCGCTATCAATGTTTGATTGCTCTTTCAAAGGATGAAAGACGTAATAATAAAACAAATGTTTAAATAAATTTAAACAGTACGTCGCAATATGCAAGATAATATGAAAAATTTACAATATTAAGAAAAAGACATTTGCCGTTGACATGCATAGTTTATACATCATAATTGGATAGCGAGATAAAGAGAGAGAGAGAGAGAGGGGAGAGAGAAGCAAAAGAGAGAGAGAGAGAGAGAGATGGATAGAGGGACCCCAACAAAAAACACATGGAAAATTATTAGCTTACGCTAAGGTTTGTCATTCTGACTTAACTTGTGAATAAATCATGAATTTATTATGATTCTTTCTTTTCCATTTTGCTCACAGGCATTCCTCAAAGAGCTTCTGCCTCCATTTAATCCAAGTGATATATGGCTTTGTTACCTTTTCGGGATTCGAATGATTGACAGGGGATCTTTCTACTGGCTGGATGATACTCCACTCCGGTATGTTCCTCATAGGTTTGCTCTGTCGAGATCTGTCAAGATAAAAGAATACATTGAAGTTAATCTGTAGTTACAATTCTCCTACAAACACTTCTCGTTTAGTTGTATCCAGTTTCAATTAAATTATATACTTTATTAGCATACTTTTTAAAATCTGTGTCTCAGATGAATAGCAAGAAGATGGAAAATAAAAAGCTCGGATCAACAATACAAGATAATGATGTTATGACCAGATTTCTGCTCTATTTCTTTGCATGCTACATACTCACAGTATTTCTGTAGCATCTAAGGGAGAGGGGGGTGAGGTTAATGTGAATAAAGATTTAAATTCAAATTCGCTTTGATGATGGATTTCCGAACTTTTATGATTATTCTCAATATTGCACGAACAATAAAATAATAATAATTATGATAATGATAATACTACTGATAATAATAATGATGAGGATGATGATAATAACAAATAATAATGCTACTACTCCAAATATTATTATTATATTATTGATCATAATATAAATAAAAACGATCATAATGCGAACATAATTGATATAGTGTTTTCCTCTAAGGTATAACGATTGGTATATCACGGAACCAGATAATCCTGACTCCTGGGGTTGTCTTGGTCTACGTGATAGTCTATCATGGTATGACCAGCCTTCATCTTATTCATTGCCGTACATCTGTGAGCGTACACGAGGTATGAATATTGATGATCCAACATTTATTGTTTTCTAGTGATTGTTGTTCCGGGCTATATTGCAACAAACGTATTGTCTTGGGTTCATACGGCATTCGGATTGTAGGTTGGGGTTTGTGTAAGGGTCGGGTTAGCATTCGGATAAAGGGCTGAAGTTTGCAATTCGTTTAGTGTAAGAAATCGATCGCAGAGCTATTCTCTTTGGAATATGTTTCGTACAAGCAGAATTTTGAAATGCTTTTCAGATATTTGGAGTATTGCGCTACTCCTTAACCGAAATCCGTTATCATTACAACATAACAATAGAATAATTGTATCATACCATCATGGGATGTATGGCTGTTGTAGAACTTTGCATTCGTAACTTTCTCTTACTACAAAAAATGCCACCTCGATTGTTCGATTCATGAAAAAAGGGATAATCTTGTTTTTAACTCTTTCGTATTCCTACACCGACGAAATAAACATTTCAGATAAAATTTATCTTTAAGAAATGACAACCAATGCAATCGTTCACTTTTTGCATACATATTTGGAAAATAAAAGTATTGAGCTCTGTAGAATCTGGGGAATGCCTACACTGTGCAGAGAATAGTCGACGCAATTTCATTAAAATCACAATCTTACTCACCACGATACACTCTCAAATAGAAAGTCTGTTTTATTACAGTATATGATGGAAGCAGTGAAGTATCATTCGGTGGTCTAGATTATTTCATCTCTCCGTCATGGCTGGCTCGGTCTTACTCAGATGCACGGATCTATTGTCAGTATCATGGAGCTGATTTAGCACTCATCAAATCACACGATATCAGCGTATGTTCAAGTATACTTCTTTTCTTTCAGCTAATGTTATCCAAAATGTTGTTATCATGAAACCTATGAACTTTCTGTTGTTTTATTAGTATTTAATTTAACACCTTGGAAACTTACATAGCTATTTTGCAAGTCAGTCGCTATGGCGTACAGGGAATAAATATTTTTTCATAATAACACGATTGAATGACGTATGTGACGTAATAGGCCAACTGGTTACTCGTGAATGACTATTTAAATAATATCAAAAAGCGTGATATTTAGTTGATAGCGGAGATAATAAAACATTCATTTAGACACTGTCATCCCCAATCCTTGTGTTCGAAGCTTTCCGATACATCTCAAAACAGATCATTCTCTGATGACGCCGCTATTTCATTCACGTTTATACCGTGATATGAAGAGTTTTGAATAGTTTAATTTATATATTTCAAATATTACTTCTTATTATTGTTTTAATTTACATGACCATGACGCGTGAACAGTCCTGTTATAGTGTCTTTCAGCAGCTTCAAATGAACAAATGATTTTTACTTAAAGGTAAAGACCAGTATTGGAAGAGCCCCAATTTCAAAAAATGAAATAGAAGCTCTCTTTACCAATCATGTGAAAGAATATGTTTTGACTAATACATGATGATACAAAATTTGCCGGGAAACCGCCTACTAATTCATATATTTGGTAAATTTGTTTCTCCCGTGGACTGTGAGAGATATAGGGTAGTCCCATATACATCTTTCTGTGTATAGTGCTTGTAACTTTACGAAGAATGGGCCAAATTTCTTATCATTTTGATGATTCCAGAACCTTGCAGATGCTAGATGCTAGATGATCAACCTTTTCTGATCGATTCCACAACGTTTCTTTCACAATGCAATCGCATGACCATTACTGGTCTTTACTTTTAAAATATATTCTACTGAGCGCCAGAAGAGTTTTATTTTTTTAGTTACCGCAAGGTTCACAGCAGGCGATTGACTTGTGTTGATTTTATTTGTATTCGTTTGTTATATTTTGTAATACTCATTTTAATTATGAAATCGATGTTCATGAGGTGACATTTCCATTTTCCTTTTACCAGACCTTTCTTCATGGCAGAATTTCGGTATTAAATACCCTTGTATTTTTTGGTTTGACTGACCAAGCTGTAGAAGGCACATTTACATGGATCGATGGAACACCTTTACAGTAGGTTCAATTATTTTATAGTGCATACTTATCCGTTTCTACTTTGAAATAACTGCCTTACTCTAAGTTACTTATATTATTCTTTAATTATTTGAGGTGTAAAATGTCCTTTCATTTTAGGTAGGTTCACATACTAGTCCCAAAAATAAAAATATAAGAATCCGGCACATTTTTCATTGTAACTCGATAAACATTAATTGATGTAATTTGTTGGTCTGAAAAGCAAGTATGCGTAACAGTTTTCTTGATTATACTTTGATTGTAAACTTATGTTTTGATAATGAAATTATTGCAGTCGGTAGTAACACAAAAAGTAAATTTTGCATGTCGTAATGCAAAGGAGGATGTGTGTCAGTATACTTGTTTATAAATATTGTGTACAAGTGCATTAAAAAACAAATCCGCATAAAAATTACAACTTTCAAATTTGCAATCAAAATAATTTGGTTAAAATAGTAGTGCATACTTCGTTTTTCGAATACATTAAGGTCATGAGTTTCTTCTCGATTAAGATTGAATTTGGGGAGGGGGGAATACTCAAATTTGGTTTGGACGGGGGTGTGCAGTTCAAAACTCGAAACCGTACTATTTTTTAAGGGTCATTTTGGGGGATTTTTCTCGAAGTAAGGCCCGTTTTTCACGATTTTCAGGTGTTTGCCATGCGAACACCCGAACAATTTTGAGATTTTGAGAAAAAAACGGACCCATGTTTAGTGATATTTTTGTTTTAAATGGAACCCATGTTTTGGGCTTTGTGAAAAAGTGACCCATTAGAGCGACACACCCCTATGTCTTTTTATATGAGTACCCCCCCCCCCCTTCCCGGATATATTCTTATGGATGTTTCGGCTCAAAAATCCAGTTAAGAAACTAACAAGTTTAATATAAGACGGTGCACTTATATGACAAAGGTCATTATAATCCAATCATCAGAATTCTTCTCTTCTTCTTTTTCTTCTTCTTCTTCTTCTTTTTTTCTTCTTCTTCTTCTTTTACTTCTTCTTCTTCGTCTTCTTCTTCTTCTTCTTCTCCTCCTTTGGTATGAGGTAGTAGTATTATATATCAAGTTATTTCTTGAAGCGGGGTAAGCCAGTTGACTTGTGCATCCTTTGGGCTTGACAGATCAGTCATCCCGTCAGGAGGTGGGAGAACAGAGCAGTCATCAGAATTATCTGAATTTACAATTCAGAAAGAAAAAAAAAATTACAACAAAATACACTTCCCCCCCCCCCTTTAAATAAGAAGAAAATAGGACATTGTATTTTATAGAACCATTCTTTCGTATAACCGTCTGTTTATTCCTGCATGCTTTTTTTTTTTTTGCATTCTTCTTAATCCAATACACACAGGTATTCAGCATGGAGGGATCCTGAACCCGACAACGATGGTGATGAAGATTGTGCCACTCTATCTTCTGATTCAGACATGGGATGGCTTGATATTGCGTGTAGTCGCAAACAACCCTTCATATGTGAACGCTATCAGGGTAAGTCACTAGACCTAACACTATGACCGTTTCTGTTTCATAGCCAACATTTCATTTTTCTTTTCTCTCTCTATTTCCAATTGCTTAAAAGTCTATTGAATTGAACTAGTAATTTATAAGAGAGCCGCTAATCCACAGTTGTCGAGTTGCAGAAACCTTCAATTCTATTTTTTAAATTAAATTTTAACCCCCTCCCCCCCCCCCTCCCATAAGCGGGTTTTGCCAATGTGGATAAGTCACCGGATTGTGGATCTAGTACCACGGGGTTTCCATCGTTGCAAAGTTTGGAATGATCATGAAGAAACATATATGCTAGTATACTAAGCTAGAAGATATATTTTTGAAAGTTTTAACTCGAAATTCTATTGATTTTATCTCACATTGACATGTAAAATTACGAGATCATGAAAAAGTGCGAGAATGTAAAGCGACCTGTCTCTCTACAAAATGCCCCACTTCACAGCCTTTAAAACCTCTTATGCATCTTATCTTACATGCGACAAAGAGAGGGTTCAAGTCCGTGCTGCGCCACTTAAGTCCTTTGGCAAGGCACTAATTACATTTGCCACACTTGGCCCAGTTGTAGTAAGTTGGCACTTAATTAAGGGTTTATTCTTTGAATGCACTGAGCGTTAAGAGCTTTGATTAAAAGCAGGGCTAATAATATCCAATATCGTTTGGAAATGCAGAGATAAATATTATTATATGATATTGTGATATGCGCTATGCAAGAACGGTATATCATCATTGCTATTATTGTCACGTCCACCGAAGGTGGAGGCGAGACTAAGGGATTCAAATGGCGTCCGTCCGTCCGGCGTCCGTCACAAAGTGTACCTGCCAAATTATCTTGTGGCAGGTAACTTCGCAACCGTCAATCCTATTGTGACCAAACTTTGGTCACAGCTGCACTCGGGTGACCTTCACTGTGCTCTGAAGGGTTACATGCTAAGGTCAAAGGTCATTTGAAGTCATATGTTAAAGTTTATCTGCTAAAAAAATTTGTCACAAGTAAAGTACATCCGAACTTGGGTCAGTGATGCTCTTTGGAAATATCGATATCAGTTTGTCACAGGCATGCGATACACGATCCGGTGATTGCCTGAATTTGCTGAAAATATTGTCATGTCTAAACACATCTGCAAATGCATGTTAACAAAACTACTTATAATGATGTTTATTCAGCACTGCATACACAATATCTCTTAGCATGTTATTATTATCTCCATCATCCGATCAAGGTTCGTTCATAAATACAATGTGTGCACATTCTCCACTCTTTGAGGAGTACTCTAGCCAGGTGTCATTTTACAGACGCCCACAGTGTAAACCTAACACAGGAGACGTTTGCATACCACAGGTTACCAACGACACATGGGTGGAGAGGAGTAGGTTACATTAAAGTGCCATGGCGGAGAGTGAATCCATGATCTTCTCATCTCTGGTCTCGTGTTTTATCAGTATATGACTATGATAAAATGCAATGAAACGTAATGGTTTGAAATTCTTTCTTCTTATATTCTTATAACACGATGAATGTCTGATAATGGCAATCACCTTGTTTTAATGAATACATAGTCGTTCCAGAATATAAGTGGAGTCGCCTTGATGGAACCCTGTACTATATCTCTCAATCATCGATGATGTCATACTCGTTTGCTAGAAAGTACTGCCAGGCTCAAGGAGGGGATCTTGCCCAGCCTAAAACAGAAGAAATCAATGTAAGGACGCATTGTGATATTAAAAAGATTAATTCTAATACATAAATGAAACGTGATAACAACCTTAACGGGCTTTTATTTAGCAATTGTTTGTGCAAAAAAATGAAAATAAAAACAATAAAATTAACGTAAGAGAAATAGAGAATCTGGTAGTTTATGTGAAAACAATCGGAATAGGGTTATAAAGAAGTAAAATATCGCTGTGATGAGTTATAAGGAAAACAAAATATCTTATTTCAACTAGTTCAACTTTCGATGATGTTATAGACTATACAGACGAATCGATAAAGTTATTCCACTTTCATGATCATGACACATTATAAATAGTCATCTGTGATTTCTCGTTCTAATTTATTCTCTCAACGTTTTCAACAGTTGCATCTCATTGAGCTGGCTGGAGGTAACTCGTATTGGTTTGGACTTGATGATATCAATCAAGAGAGTACGTTCCAATGGATTGATGGCACTCCGCTCGATAATAGTGGGTATGTATTAAACTGTATTTTCACACACAAATACACGCGCGCGCGCACACACACACACACACACGCACACGCACACGCACACACGCACACGACAATATCTCACACACCCTACTCATGACAAACTGCGATCATATCATGATGCAGACAGATTGCAACAGGCAGAAACTGGTGTGTAACTTTAATAACATGATTATCTGAGAAACAAGTTGAAATTCATCAAGCTTAGGATGTGTTTTCCAATCGGTTGATGGCACCTACACCCCCCCCCCCCCCCGACATAGATGAAAGTCATTAATCTATTCTACTTTCCATGTGTTTTCATATGCGGAACTCGTGGAGGCTAAAATGATGCAAGATCATAGTTACCAAGGAAGGCATAATTATCTATACTGTATTTACATTTGAACTAATACACATTTTAACTAAATGAAAACCCCTGACATAACGATTTCAACCTTTCATGACAATGCCCTTTAAAGTTGTTTTTTTAATTAATACTGGGATAATTCATTGCTGTTTGGAACATATTTTACCTTTCCAGATTTCCTGCTTGGTCGGATGGTGATGAAACCCTATTTGAGAATGAAAGATGTGTTCATCAGCAGGTTAATAATGGATGGAGAAAACTACCATGTACATCATACCTCAGGTTCGCATGTGAAAAACCTCCGAGTGAGTATTGGCATGTATTTCTATAATCTATATTTCTATATAATCCTATGATAGTCCATGCTCAAATGATGCCCGCTTCACCTTTTTACATCACATTTTAAATGCCACAAACGAAACAATATATCGATTGGTGACATTCTAATATTGTGTAACCACTGTTTTAAATCCGTTGTTGGTATCCACTTAAAACAGAATATCACCACTCATTGTAATCGATGCTTGTACAGTATTCAGCAAAAAGGGAAATACTTTATCATTTGAAGTATATAATCTACCTATTAAACATTCCTAGTTATTTAGGCTTTATCTACAGTTGATAACTCGAGGGAAAGTGACTTCATAAAGTGTCATATATCATTTACATTGGGTTTCCCATAAATTGTTTTAGAAGTGGAGGTAATTTTGTTTAAAATATATGTATGAAAATGCATTTGTATATATCAACAAGGACCAAACGTCATCATAACATAACATGTAAGGTTGAAGTGTGAGATAATTCCCTCCTACTTCCCCTCTAACGAAGATGAAGGCCGACACTAATTACTTGCAAAACATAATGATTTTCCCATAGGTCCGCGACAGATCCTTCCTGTACGTCTAATGGCAGCTACTCAATCACCCTACGGAGGAGGTCTGCTGGATGCGTCATTTATCTGTCTACTCGGCTCAGAGAATGAAGAGATTCTCACATTGTCCACCAGAAGACTCGTCCGTCTGACCGAGGCTATAACTTCAGATAGTTATACAGCTCCAGGAGTCAGCGATAATGTGTCGTCTGTAGTATTAAGGCAGACTCTTCCAGCGACTATGGAGGGCTTGGGATTTTTCGAATGTTCTGCAGTGACAGCCAGTAGAATGACACCTGTTCCTCTTGGCATTCTTCTTTCTTCCCGTACATATACACATACATATAAAAACTAAGTTATTCATACATCTAGTGAATTAGTGTGTGTGTGTGTGTGGGTGTGTGTTTGTGTGTGTGTTTCGTAACTGATGAATGCAAGGTGGACTCATTGAATGAGGGCGTTTGTTGAACATATTCATGTGTAAGATAAGGCTTTAATATTCTAAAGACACAAATTGGGACAAATTTTTCACATACTGATTTGGTAAGGTTATTAATAATTTAGTTGTTAATAGTTTACGTTAAAATGTAATACAACAATTTCAACTTAATGTAAATATTCATAAAAAGCAAATGATTATGTTAACAGCTCAAGAAACTCCCCAATACCATAAATGCTAATGCTTGAAACTTGTTTCCCCTACTGTTTCATTCTAAGAATGTTTAGTTGATGACAATGTAAAAAGAATGGAGGATAAATGGGGCGAGAGGGAGCAAGAGAGAATGGAAGACATGATGACGCAATTTTGTTGAATCAGCATGAAATTAAGATTCGAATGTAAGGCCTTTGTTGTCGATTTTCCTTTTTATTTTATATAGGTCAATTGCAACCCAGTGATGGTCGGTTTACAAAGACAATACATATTGGAGATGATATCACACTCAGTGTGATGAGCACGACAGGGATGCTAGGAGAAGACGGGATGCGATGGCGGAAATTGACTGATGTAGACTGGGCTAATTCACTTATTGGAATGAGTTCTGACAGTCTATCACACACAATCCAATCTGCATCTATCTCAGACGCCGGTGTATATGTGACGTACATGGATGGAACGTTGGATCAACATCAATTCAGCCTCATAAGACTCATCGTAACGGGTTCGAATTTCGTCTTCCTTACACATCGAAAAAATATATCATTGCATATTGGTCGCAAGGGTATAAATTCACTGGAACTAGTTACTCTTCAGCTCTGTAGCTATGGTCATTAAAGTAACAACAATCAAGAAAAACCGACCAGATATATGTTTGTTTATATGATAGTAAAGCGTAAATAATATCGATGAATGTAAAGTTGTAATTTCTATGATCGAGTGACAGTTTTTGCAGTATAAAGCCTAATCGAGAACTTAAAGTATTTACATAAAAAATTCAGCTTCATGGCATAATGGTGTGGTTAAAAAAAAATTCAATTAAATTTTGATTTTTAACCGTCAAATAATTAGGTTCTGCCACTTTTTTCATCAAGTGACCATTTTTCAAAAATTATGTATTTGGACCTACTTCTTTGCAATTAAGGTATGCTTTTGCCGGAACCACTATGCATCATAGGTTATGGGAATGTCTTTTCGTGTCAATTCATTTCATTAAACTACCTGTTTTCGGGTATCAGTGGCCGAAGTCCATTCCGAGGAGTGTGTGTGTGGAATGGAGGGGGAATGTTGTGATCCTAACACATGCATGACTCAAAATGGAGCTGAAAATGACAGGTTTTTCATTTAATATCGTATAAATTGTAGGACTTTTAAATACATTTTTAAAAACGTTTTAAAAATATGATTGATTTCCTTAATATGGGGGGGGGGGTATTTTTTTACAGGCCACCCCCTTCAGAAATGTGTGTGGGTGGGGTATAACTCCCATCTCCGGGATCAACATACGTTTGGGATTTAGATTATGTTTTTCCATGTTTTATTGTATTAACAGAGTGCCCTTATGGAAGTTGGAATCCACCATTATGCGATCGTTTGTGTGATAGTTGTTATAATGGAGGTGTTTGCCACGAACTCTCAGGAACATGCATCTGTCCCCCTGGTCATGCTGGAAAGAACTGCCTCCAAGGTAAAACAAAGAAATCCCGAAAGAAGATACTACCATGTGAAAAAAGTTAATTCTATGTCCAGTACAATCTTTGCCTTGAAATGAGTCTTTACAATTATAAACTAATCGTTTTATGATGGTGATTCCAATTAATAATAACTACAACCACAATTACAAGAATAAGAAGGAAAGATGAGGAAGAAAAGAAGAAAAAGAAGGAGGAGAAGGAGAAGACGAATGATAATAATGTATAAGAAATATAAGAAGAAGGAGAGGAAAGGAAAATAAGAACAAAAGGAAAAGAGGAAAAAGAAGAAGACCAATGATTATGATGATGATGATGATGATGATGATGACAGTACTACAAATAATCGTAATTAGTATAATAAAAACAATAATGATGCCAATAACAGTAATAACAATGATGATTTTAAAAAAAATGCTAAAACTATTAAAGATAATGAAACACTAGTTTTATTAATATGCACATTTTCACTTGTTTTGTTTCCATAAGTAACTATTAGTTAAATTGAATTAGTATTTGCCAATGATTACAAATGCCAAAAAACAGACTTTTTCACAATCAAAACAAAAAAAATAAAATACTACAACGGGAAACTTTTCAATTTCTATGTCCAATACATTTTTTGCCTTAAAATGAATCTTTACAACTATATACTAATTGTTTTGTAATGGTAATTCCGAATGATAATAACAGCAACAATGAATATTAAAATAAGAAGGAAAAGAAGAAAAAGAAGAAGAAGATGAAAAAGAAGAAGAAGGAGGAGAAGGAGAATAATAATAAGAAGAAGAAAAAGAAATAGAAGAAGAAGGAAAGGGAAA